TGCCGCGGAGCAACTAAGCCCATGCACCACAACTACTGAGCCTGTGCTCTAGAGCCTGCGTGCCACAACTACTGAAGCCCACGTGCCTAGAGCCCGTTCTCCGCAATAAGAGAAGCGGCTGCAATGAGAAGCCCGCACAATGCAACGAAGAGTAGCCCCCGTTCGCCGCAACCAGAGAAAGCCCGTGCACAGCAACGAAGACCCAACGCAGCCAAAAATAAAAAACAAACAAAAAAACCTGATTTCAAAAATATTCTGAAATTTTAAAACTTTTTATTAGAGTATAACATAACGACATGAAAATACACAATTCATAAGTGTAAATCCTGAAGAATTTTCACAAAACGAACACACATGTCCAAACATCCAAATCAAGAAATAGAACATTACCAGCCCCACAAAAGCCCCTTTGTTCTCCCTTTCCAGTTATTACCCACACCCCTGAAAGTAAATAATATTCTGACGTCTAACTTCATAGATTAGGCTCATTGGGTGTTAAACTTTATATAAACGGAAGCATACAAAATGTGCTCTTTTGAGTCTGGCTTCTTTTGCTCAATTTTGTGTTTTTGAGATTCATCTATATTGTTGCATGTAGTTGTAGTTTGTTCCCTTTCATTGCTTCATATGGTTCATTATCTGAATTTGTCACTATTTATCCATTCTACTGATGATGAGCATTTCAGTTTCCACTTTAGGTCTTTTTAAACATTTTTGGCTGTGCTGGGTCTTCATTGCCTGGGCTCTTTGTTTCAGGCTTCTCTCTAGTTGTGGCACGTGGGCTTCTCCAGTTGTGGTGCACAGGAACCAGAGCACATGGGGTTCAGTAGTTGCGGTGCACGGGCTTCTCTCTAGTTGCCGCGTGTGGGTTTAGTTGCCCTATGGCACGCGGGATCTTAGTTCCTCGACCAGGGATTGAACCCGCGTCCCCTGCATTGGAAGGTGGATTCTTAACCATTGGATCACCAGGGAAGTCCCTAGTTCTATTTTTTTTTTTTTTTTTTTTTTTTTTTGCGGTACACGGGCCTCTCACTGTTGTGGCCTCTCCCGTTGCGGAGCACAGGCTCCGGACGCGCAGGCCCAGTGGCCGTGGCTCACGGGCCTAGCCGCTTTGCGGCATGTGGGATCTTCCCGGACCGGCACGAACCCGTGTCCCCTGCATCGGCAGGTGGACTCTCAACCACTGCGCCACCAGGGAAGCCCCCTAGTTCTATTTTTAGTAGTACTGTTATGAACATTCTTGCCCATGTCTTTGGGTAAACGTGTATAATTTTCTGCTAGGTATATACCTAGGGCTAGGATTGCTGGGTTTTAGAGTTTGCATGTGTTCAGCTGTAGTTGATATTGACATATTCTTTGTCTTTCTTAAACAGCTTTTTTGAGATACAATTCACATACTATACAATTCACTAATTTAAAGTGTACAGTTCAATGGTTTTTAGTATAGTCACAACCAGATAGGTCCAACCATCAACACAGTCAAATTTTTAGAACATTTTCATCATCAAAAAGAAAGCCTTAGATATCTAGATATTGCCCTCCTCCCAATCCCCCATTTTCCCATCCATAAGCAATCATTAATTTGCCTTCTGTCTCTATATATTTGCCTATGCTAGATACTCCATACAATACATGACCTTTTGTGTCTGGCGTCTTTCACTTAGCATAATGTTTTCAAGGTTCATCCATGTTGTAGCACATATCAGTATTTCATTCCTTTTAATGGCTGAATAATATTTCATTGTATGAATATACCACATTTTGTTTATCATTTCATTTGTTGATGGACATTTGTATATCTTCTTTGGAGAAATGTCTTTTCAAGTCCTTTGCCCATCTTTTAACGGTAAGTGTTCTTTATTTATTTGGGGTACTAGACCCTTATCAGGTATTTGGCTGCAAACATTTTTCTCATTTTTGGGGTTGTCTTTTCACTCTCTTGACAGTGTCCTTTGATACACAAAAATTTTAAATTTTGATGCAGTTAGTTTATCTATTTTTTTCTTTTGTTGTTTGTGTTTTTGGTGTCATATATAAGAAACCATTGCCAAATCCAAAATCATGAGGATTTACTTCAATGTTTCTTTCTAAGAGCTCTATAGTCTTCAGTCTTACATTTAGGCCTTCGATCCATTATGAGTTACTTTTTGTATGTGGTATGAGTTAAGGGTCAAACTTCATTCTTTCGTATGTGAATATTTAGTTGTATTAGCATAGTTTGCTGAAGAGACTATTCTTTCTCCATTGAATGATCTTGGCACCCTTGTGAAGAATCAATTGATCATAGATAGGTTTCTGAATGCTCAATTCTATTCCACTGATATGTTCATCCTCCTGCCAGTACCACAGTGTTTTGATTCCTATAACTTTGTAGTGTAGTAAGTTTTGAAATTAGGAAGCTTCATATCTTAACTAAAATATGAAGGAAATACCAAAAACATCCAACTTAAGAAGCAAACAGGTATATCCTGGAGTTATTTGAGGTGTGAGAGATGTGTCATAAAAACTCTTTAAATTTCTAAGCTTATTATCTCCTTATTTCATAGTCAGCTAAAGTTAGCTTCTCAATATGAGGTAAATTTATATTTTCTACGGTAGATCAAGATAGTACAACCTGAATAAAGTAAAAGTAATTAAGAATATAATGTCCAGGTGAACAAGGACCTTGTCTGTCTTGTTCATCAGCATTCCCAGTGCATCAGGCAGTGCACGGCACAGAGTAGACACTTAAGAAAATATTCGTGGAATAAAATATGATATTTCATATACTGAGTGAGAAACAGGTTTTCCGAGATATCAGAATTTTGCTTTGATATACAAGAATTGTTCCACTGAACAAATCTTTTATTCAAAGCTGTCCTGTCATTATATATATATATATATATATATATATATATATATTTTTTTTTTTTTTTTTGGCGGTACACGGGCCTCTCACTGTTGTGGCCTCTCCCGTTGCGGAGCACAGGCTCCGGACACGCAGGCTCAGCGGCCATGGCTCACGGACCCAGCCACTCTGCGGCATGTGGGATCTTCCCGGACCGGGGCACGAACCCATGTCCCCTGCATCGGCAGGCGGACTCTCAACCACTGCGCCACCAGGGAAGCCCTATTTATATATTTAAGAAGTAAAATGACCCCAAGATACCCCAAAAGCCTGCTGCGTGGAAGGTCCTATAACATCACTTGAAAGACAGCATAGGAGAGTTGGTATGACCACAGGTGTTACTCAAGCACCTAAAGATATCAGGCAAGGATATTCAAAGTTACATTGGAAACCACCCAAATATCCATCAATAGGAAACTGGTTAAACTGTTTAATGACCTATGGATGCATTGTTATAAATAATTAGGTAAATCCATGTATCTTGATATTGACATGGAAAAATGTCCATGTTATACTGGTAAGTAAAAAAAAAATGGATGTTGTAGACACTGTGACCAATGTAATCCCATTTTTACTTTTAAATAGAATGATAATATATGTTATATCTACAGAAAAAAGTAGTTGGAGGAATACATACTAAATTATTGCCCATGAGGTTTTTTGAAAAGTTGAGATTTTGAAGGCATGGATCATCTCTATTATATACTTATGAAATGTCTGATATTTGAATGATGGTTACATCTGTAATCAGATAAAGTAATAGTTTTTTTTTCAAAGAAGAGAGGGACATGATCTTTGGAGTCAAACAGAGTGCTTTTATATCGTGGATCTACCAACTATCAGCTGGGTGACCTTGGACAACTTACTTCATGTCTCTGAACCACAATTTCCACATCCATAAAATGGAGAAATTAATATCAGCCTCATAAGAATGTTGTACCTACCTCATCAGTTTCATCACATACCATCATTCTCTTAGTATGCTCTAGAATAGGGGTTGGCAAACTAGTGCCCTTAAGCCAAATTGGACCCTGTTTTTGTAAAATAAAGTTTTATGGGAATACAGCCACAGCCATCTGGTTACATGTCTATGCCTGCTTTTGCACTACAACAGCAAAGTTGAGTAGTTACTACAAGGACCATATGGCTTGAAAGACTGAAATATTCATATCTGGCCCTTTGCAGAAAAAGTCTGTTGACTGACCCCTGCTCTAGGAAGAATACACTGGCATTCTTTCTCCTCTTCACCATGGGACCTTTACACACACTGTTCCCTTTGCCTAAAATGACACTCCCACACCCCACATCTAATCCTTTTCTGTCAGTATTACTCATCTCTTCATTACCTTGGGGAAGCCTTTGCTGATCCCACCCCACAACTGAACTAGATTACCTTTCCTGTTATACATTCTCATAGCATTCCTCATAGAGTTTATCATGATGGCAATTATCCTAATTATCTGTGCCCTTATTTATTTAATGTTTGACTCCCTATAGACTGCAAATCCATAAAAAAAACTGTCTGTCTTTTTCAATCCTGAATCTCCAGTGCCTAACAAAGTACCTGTAATATAATGGATAGGTACATTCATGCATGAACGATATAATTTGTAAAAGGTACTTATTGTCTGATATATACTGTATAAAGTATACTTTATAACAAATATTTTACCTAGTAGATGTGCAAATGGTTAAGAGCATAGATTAGGGGTTCAACATCCTGAGATTGAATCCCAATTCTTCCACTTAATACATGAGGAACATTAGACAAGCTCCTTAATCTTTTTTGCCAGTGTCCCATCTGTAAAATGGGAATAATATTAGTACCAACCTCATAAAGTCTGTAATGAAGATTTATAATGTAATTAATATTATCTACATAAAGCATTTAGCATAGAGCCTGGTACACATTAAGTGTTCAATAGATTCTATCTATAATTGTAATTATTTTTATTAGTGCAAGTCTTTGATGGACAGCAGATATTGTTACAACCCCCACAAAGTTGACTCCAGCTTGCCCTGGAGTCAGGGCTACTGGGACAAGGTGAGCCAAGGTCTCCTCTCTCACTCCCACTCCCAACACAGCCAAACATAAATCAGGTCAGAGCCATGGTTAAGCAATATTCTTTCTTTAATTCCCCTTTGCAAATGGAAGCCCCTGAGCTGGTCCCCACCCCCACCCCTACCCCACACCTTGGGCCCACCCCAGATGAAAGGCCCCCAAATCAACCTGATGGGAGGAGGAGAGGAGCGCCCCCTCCCTAGGATGGTCCATTTAAAAAAATCCTAGTCATTTAAGAAATGAGGCTGGGGACAGGAGAAGGGAGCTGGAAAACAAGGCCAGGTCAGGCCCAACTGGAGATGCTGGGGTGGCAAGGACCCTTGAGAAGGGTTTGCAAGCACAGCCCTAAGCTCAGAGCCTGCATGGCTAAGGGAAAGGAGACAGACAGACAGATAGTCTGACTCCTCAAGGTCCTGCCTGCCTGGTCGTGGACACTGACACTCACCACCACTGCCACCACCACAGGCCTCCAGATGGAGAATTTTCCAGTTACTCTGAGATAGGGTTTGCTAAGCATCCCCTCTGGCCCCTGATATGGGGCATCCCTGGGGTCCCTCTGAGACCAAACCTGGGAGAAGGAGGGACTCTAGAAACATGCAAAGGCGGGGAGAAGAGACCCCCGCCCCACCCTGCTGCTCTACAGGATGGTAGCTCCGGCTGCATCTGGGCTCCGAGGGTCCTTCACACCGATGATGAAGTTGTTGGTCCTCCGGCTGCCATGGACCCAGGACAAGACATCTACCTTCTCCACGTGGTGACCCCTGGCTTCCAGGAACTCAATCTCTTCCTCTGTGAACTCACCTGAAAACCATTCCCCAACATATACACATTCAGAGAGTTTAGAACACTGGCTCAGGAGTCTGACGGTCAGACCTGAGTCCTGGTCCTGGATGCCCTACTAAGGAGCTGTATGACCTTGGGCAAATTGCTTTAGTACTCTGAGCCTCAGTCTCATCATGTATAATAAAATGGGTATTACCTGAGAACCTACCACATAAAGTTGTTGCAGGGATTAAAGAAGACAAGGCACACAATGCACAAAGCTCAGAGCCTTGCATATAGTAAGTGATTGATAATGTATAGTCATTCTTAATATTGGAAAAAGGGCTTGGCTTTGGGGGTCTTCATTCCACCTGCCTAGGCCAAGCTGCCATCATTACTTGCCAGGATTACCACATAGCCCACTAACGGGTCTTTCTGCTTCCAGTCCTGCTTCCTTACAGCAGCCATTAGTCAGCCCGTGTCACTTGCCCTGCTCAAAACCTTCCAACAACTTTGATGACTCTTAGAATAAAATCCAAAGTCCTTACCAAGGCCTCTAATGCCCCAAATCATCTGGAAACTTGTAACCCTCTAAACTCCTCTCCTCATTTCCTTCTACTCTCTCCCTTGCTTAACTCTGCTCTAGCCTCCTTGCTGTCCCTCAAGTAGGCCAAACATGCTCCTACCTCAGGGCCTTTGCACTTGCTGTTCTCTCTGCCTAGAATGCTCTCCTACTAGATAATCACAAAACTGGCTCCCTTACTTCATTCCAGTCTTCAAGAACTTCCTTGGCCACTATCTAAAATAGCAGCCCCTGTCATCTTTACCTTGCTTTATTTTCTTTCAAAGTACTTGCTGCTACCTGCATCTTGTTTATTTATTTACTGTGTCTCTCTCCACTAGAATGTAAGTTTTTGAAGGCAAAAATGCTGTCTTGTTCACTATTGAGTCCCAGTGCCTAGAACAGGGTGAGGACACAGTAAATGTTAAACAAGTGTTTTCTAGATAAATGAACAAATCCCCACTCTCTCGCATAAGTTCAGGTCTTCATCATCTCTTGCCTGGACCATTATCCCAGTTTCTTCTTGTGTTTCTCTGACTTAAGTTCTCCTCCCTTCAATCCACCTCCCCTACATAAAACAAATCGTGTCATATCCCTCCCATGCTCAACTAGATGAAGTCCATACTTCTTAACATGAACCTCCATGGTAAGCCCTGTAACCTCACCTCCCAATGCTCCTCAGCAAAAATCTGATCTTCTTACTTCCCCAAATGGGATGATTTGGGGTAGTTCTTGAGATAAAGACACACATTAAACAGCATTAAACAGCATTACATCACCAAGTTGGAAATATATTCCCTTTGTGGTTCACTTTCAATCCTTTTGATAATAGAAAGGACTACGTTCCAGTCTGGTCCCCAACATTCTAATCTCCTTTAAAAGAGAGAGCAGACCTCAGAACATTCTATGGGCAAAAATGTCTAACGAAAACCTAGAAACATTTGATTTTTTTGTAGCTGTTTATCATCTATTTGAGGCAAATGATGCCATTTTTCCATTTGTGATTATGATATAAGGTTTAGTTTTAAAATACATTCAGGTTAAAAAGGAAATCCATTTGTAGACACACATTATGTAAATAATGCTTTAGATGGTGTGCAAATCTGTCAAAAGTCATGAAGGTACTGGATAAATTCTGAAGTTTGGGAAACAACGTCTCTAGTCCAGCTGGCCCCCTGGCTGTTCTCTGAGCCATTTTTTCTGGCTTTGCCCAAGCTGTTCCCCTTAACAACCCGACCCCGTCCAGAGTGTTCTTTACCTCCACATGCCAAATTCCTGCTCATATATCAAGGTCCAGCCAGTTGTCACCTCTTCCATTAAGCCTCCCGGAGCCCTCAGGTGGGTGAACTTTCCTTTCACCAAGCCTCCGCTCGTCATAGCCTGTCTTAGACTGTGTGCCCTTCAAGGGAGGGCTGGGATGAGCACCCTCACCCCCACAGTAACTGAGCACAGAGCCTTACATTCTACAGAGACCTGAAGATGTTAGTTGAGCAATATTCATTTTCAAGGACTTGGCCTCATCACCCATCAGCCGGGATCCAAGTGTCACTGAGCAACCACAGGGTGTGACTACTGAGGGATTAGGTCTGTGGCTTCTACCATGCTTCAGTCCAGGAGGTATCAAGAGCCATGCGGTAAAGAACTGAGTCTTTGGTATCAACCAGGTATGTATCTGATATCAATTCTGCCATTTATTGGTTTGTCTTTGACTAGTTTATAACCTCTGTGAACATCAGTTTCTTTATCTGTAAAATGGGGAGACCGAATAAGCAAGGACCATGTCTCATGCAATTTTGTATCCCCTTTGGACTAGCATAATACATTGTTCTAATAAAAACTCCTCAAAGGTGCACATACTTTCCCAGTTATGAAATTAAGCTGTGTCCAAAATTAAGCACCCGTCCTTTTTAGAGGAAAGTCTATCTCCTCACCATAATCTGTAAGGTCTATGACCTGACCCCTGCCTGCTTTCTGATCTGATCTTACCCTCACTCACCCTGGTTTCCTTTCTACTCCTAAACCACCAAGCCCATTCCTGCAGTGAGTTCTTTGCATTTGTTCCCTTGGCCTACAAAGCCTGCCACAGTTCTCTGCTTGGTGGGCTCTCTCTCACTCTCCAGATCTCAGCTTAAATGTCACCAAAGAGAACGCTTCCCCAGTCATCGAGTTAGTCATATACATCATCCTGCTTTAATGCTCTGCAGAGCATTTGTTTTGCTTTTTTATATTTCTTTATTTCTTTTCCTGTCTGCCTATAAATGCAGTATCCCTAGCACCTAGGATAATGCCTGGCACACAGCAGGTATTCAATACAAACTGTTGAACGAATGGTTTGCAAAATGAACAACTATATCTTATTTTACAAGTGAGAAAACCGAGGCTCAGAGTGGAGACGTGAATTTCCCAAGGCCACAGCCAGGAAATGGCAGGACAGGTTCCAATCCGCAGATCTTCCACTGTTCCAGTAGGAGTTGGTTAAAAGAAACCAAACTTTCACTGGCACGGAGTTGGTGCTGGGAGAGGCAGGGGCACCCTTGGGAGGAGCCCCTTTCTCCACCCTGCCCTGTGCCCACCCCATGGGGACCTTTGCTCTTCACTCACTGTCCACCTGCAGGAGGTTGGTCTGCAGGTCGGGGTGCAGGCGGCCACGGGCCAGGCTGTCACTCAGGTTCCGGTTCAAAGTCAGGACATTCAGCAGGACCTGTAGGCAGCCAAGGGGCAGAAGTCAGGGCTGTCCCAGAGGTGTGGGTTCAGGAATCCACAGCCTTCGTCCCTGGTCCAGACTCCTTAGTCTTTTGAACACTTACACCAGGGATGTCATCTGAGTTTCTCAACAGCCCCAGAAAACAGGCAGGCCCGTGATGACTGTCTCTATTTTACAGAGGGGAAACCACGGGCCAGAGAAAAAAAGCCATTCATTGCAGAGTTTGGAGAGAGCTAGGGAAGAGGCATCACTAGCACCCAGTCTCCTTTAATACAACCCAAGGCTCTCCTCCCTTCCTCTTGGCCAGGAGAGGGCTAATAGCTGGGGCTGGTCTAGGGCACAATGTGGGTACTTTCAGCTTAGTGGCTGGAAGTATGGGTAGGCTCTGTAACCAAACTGTCTGCCCATTCTTACTAAACTGAACCTAACTTCTTAACTTCTCTGGGTCTCAGTTTCCTCATCTATGAAATAGAAGTAAGGATTCCTCCCAAAGTTGGGAAGCTTAAAAGGGTTACCACATGTAACGCTGTGCCTGGCACTTAGTAAAATCTCCATAAATGTTAGCTATTTGTTATTATCTTCATTTTACAGATGAGAAGACTGAGGTTCAGAGAGGTTAAGTGAATTCCCCAACACCACACAGCTGGAAATTGGCAGGGACCCAGAGGTGTCTGATTCCAAAGCTCAGGTTTGTTAACTCACCATCTGCCAAAGTACGGGCCTGACACATATATCAGATGCTCAAGACATTCGTGGAACTGTTGTGAGGTGTTTTAGAAGGTAGCAGGCCCTTCCTTTCAAAAGCAGACCCTAAAGAAGGCTGCTTGTTATTCAGATGTTGACTAGAGGCATGATGGGACTAGAGATTGACAGAACCCAGGCAGCCCAGATGTTCTATCACCTCTCAATTCTACTGGTCCTGTGATTTCCCTGCAACCTGAGAAGACATGGCGATTCAGGGCTCCATTTTTGCTAAGAACAATGTAGTTCACGTCCCCAGTGCTCAGGATGGGCCTGGCACAAAGCAGCCTCAGCCCATGTTTGCTGCGTGAGTAGGAGATGAGGACAAGTCAGAGACATGAGGGGCATCTGCAGCCCAGGTCACAGCTTGCCTCCTGGCCACAAAAGGCCCATCATGGGGGAAAACTCACCTGGGTCAGGCCGCTGAGGCCCCGGGCAGCTCCATTGGCCCCCAGAGCAAGGTAGGTCCCACAGAGTCCTTCTGCTGGCCGGACCACAGTGGGCAGCAGGAAAGACAGTGGCCGCTTCCCTGGCTGCACCGAGTTCTCCTGTTGTCAGAGGACCGAGACCACAGGGGAATAAGAGGCGGGACAAGACAGGAAAGGGCTACTCCACCATTCTTCCAACATCTCTCTCTCCTGAATCTTCCACAGGCGCAGTCTTCATGGGGACTGGCCCATCCCCAGGCCACAGTCTGCTGTTTGTGAAATGGGCAGGGTCCCTGGATAACTGAGGTAGATAATGGGCCCACTGAGCTAAGGGGCTGCTATGGGGCTACCATGGGTGGCAGGAGAGGGATCAAGCCAAGAAAGATGACTATGAGAAAGAACAGAATAATCCCCACCCTGGTCATCTCTATCTGTCTTTGTCTTGCTGGGGTCCCAGCCTGCAGGGAGTTAAGAATGCTGCTCTCACAACAGACAATAATTCACATCTCCTTTCTTCTTGGGTCCCTCTTCAGTGCCCCTATAGTGCTCAGCATCACACAGTCATAAGCTACTAATGCTGAAAAGTACCCAAAGCATCAAAAGGGGGCCAATATCCTCACTGTAAAGTAGGTGAAGAAACTGAGGACCAGAGAGGGGGGAAGACCTTCCCTGTGTCACACAGTGAGACGGTAGCAGAATGGGACGAGGTTTCTTTGCACCCAACAGGCTCCAAGCCCTGGACTTGGGCTGGGGATGAAGTGGACACCTTGTTTAGGCTGTTTTTCTTTATAATATAATTTCATAGAAGAAGTGGGGAGGGAGGAGCAGTTATACTACTGCATCTTCTACCTAGCCTCAGGGTCCCCAGGGGAGGAGGAAAGCAAGGCCCTACCAGGCTAGGCGCAGGGTGGTTAGCAGTCCTGTTAGGCCAAGAGAAGTCCAGCATCTGGCTGTTGAGCAGGATCCCCGAGGGGGTGATGAGGCCGCTGCCAAAGGGCCGGTTCAGGGAGCTGGGGGCCGAGGTTAGGGCCAGGTGAGCCCTGCGCCTGCCCTCACCCCCCCCCCCCCCCCCACCTCCTTCCTGGTCCAGATGATCTCTTGTGCCAGGTTCTGAGTCTGAGCTGGCATACCTGACCATGGCTACAATGAAGTCGTCAGGGCCCATGATCAGCACCTGGGCAGCCGTGGGAGCCCCATTTAGCTCATAGATGGGCAGGAGCGGGACAGGGGCTGTCTGGGAGTCATTGATCTGGCCCCGGAAGTAGGCAGCCTCCACTTTGCTGAAAAGACAAGAGGTAGGAGATGAACACACAATAGGCTCTCATTACACCCCACCTACCACACTTTGTGCTGTCTGTTTGTGCAATCATTTGATTAACATCTGCCTCCCCCCACTGAACTGTTAGGTCTATGAGAGCAGAGGCTCATTTATTCCTAGCATATAGGGAATAAACAGGAAATAGTTGTTGAACTGAATGAATTTACTTAGGTGTTATTCAGGTTTTCTTCTAGAGGCAATGTTGAATTTATTTCATGTTTAAGTCAAGTCTTTTAGTTACTTGACTATATTTATTGAATCCTTTCTATGAAAGTACCTGGAACACAGGGGATGCTCAGAAAATATTTGTTTTGAATGAACAAACTGAATTCATTTAACCTAGGGTTTGTAGTCCAGAACTAAAGTTTTATTAAGAGTTTAGCTAGAGGAGGGTTTTGTATACAGGGACCTTTACTTGCTATTAGAATTTTTTCTTCAAGGCACAGGAGGACTTGGCACAGCAATAACTATTTATTGGATAAATTAGTTAAATTAATTTAACATAAGTGTTCGTGTTTTAGAGCTAAATATGCATTGATCTTGAAAACATGAAATTTTCTATTTTTAAAGTTCAACTGAGGGTTTTTTACCTGATAATGGTTAGTTAGTTATTCTAACTGACTAGAGAATGACAAGTCACCAAGGATTACTGAGGACGTCCATTCAGTTTTCACCCACGAGGGCTAGTGGCCACACACAGGGCACAGAGGGTTTTGTTTCAAGTGGTTTGGGGGCAGGCAGCGGGGAGGCTTGGTTTTTAGGCTTTATCCTTGTGGCCTTGAGCTGGTTTTCGTTTTTGGTTGCTGCTGTTTCTGCTTTTTAATTATTAGCTGTTCATTTAGTCTCATCATTTGCAACTTAATTCACAGAGGGTTGTTTGAGTATCAGTATAAATTTATATGAACTATATTTTTGGCTTCTGATTTTTCCTTTAGCTAGCCTTTAAGTCAGTTATAGTAGCAGCTAAATAGTAATCAATCTTACCTCTATTGCCAATTGAGAATAACAATGATATTTGTTGAATATTTATTACGTGCCAGACAACTTGCTAAGTGCTTTGCACGTATGATCTTGTTTAGTCCGCACCACAACCTCATGAGGCTGGCACTGTTAATGGCAGGCCCTTGTAGAAACTGAGACTTAGAGAGTTTAAATGACTTGCCCAAGGCTGCACAGCTAGTGGACGGTGAGGCTGGGATTTGAACTGAGACAGTCCGACTAGAGCCCACAATCTTACTATGTGATGCTGCTGATGTAAGTACATTTGAATCAAAATCCCCACCACCTCTAGTATTTGCTTGGGGGCTCTTTTCATTGTTATTAGGCTTTCTTTTTCTACTCAAAAGGGGGAACAGATGGGTCCATATAGGTGCCTGCTAGGGTCAAAAAAATTTGAGAGCTATATAAAGCAGACCACCTTGTTGTACAGATGCGGAAACTAAGGCGCAAGGTGAGGCAACTAGTGTCACACTGTGAGTTGGGGTTGAGCTGAAATTGACTTGGGCCTTCAGGCCTTATTGCTCCACCAGCTGCTTTTCACCTGATTCTTTCCCCACACCTGCCACTGCCTCTGCAGTACCCAGGGTCCTGCCCCTCAGGACCCACCTGAGCATGTCATCCATGCTCTCAGTGATGGTAGAATCGTAGACGGGATCTCCCAGTCTGCTGGCCAGAGCTAATGCGATCTTCAGGGTCTGAAAACAGAGCAGGAGTGTGCAAGAGGTTGCCAAGCCCCTCCCGGCACCCACACCAGGTGCTGTGTGAGAAAACTTGGAGGTGATTTAGTCAGGCCTTCTGGCACTACCCCATCCCCCAACTCTTAGTGTCCCCAGGCCCAGGGTGGAGTGGAGGAGGTCAGCCTTACCTCTGCCACCCAGTGAAGGGCCTGTTCCCGGGATACCAGGCTGGTGAGGTTGAAGCCCTCGAGGATGTTGAGAGCACTGATGAGGGCAGGGCCTGTGTGTGGGGGTCGGGGACTGAGAACCAGGTGGCCTGAAAGGACAGGAAATTACCGACGGCAGGAGAGAGGTCAAGGCATCTGCACATCCCTCCATCACACAGACTGAAACCACTGCACTGAACCCCCTCATCAGGTAGGAAAACTACACTGGGAGGCAAAGGGACCCACCCAAGTTCACACGGCAAGTCAAGGGCAGGGCCAGGACTCCAACCCAGAACACTTGTCTTTAGTTTCCTCGTCCATATGAGGAAACTAAGGCTCAAGAAAACTGTGATTTGCCCAGAGTCACACTGCAGTCCATTGGCAGAGCAGGGACAGGTGTCCAGATGTCCAGTGTCCTGGTCCACCATGTGTCTCCTTTCAGCTCCTCCCTTAGGCCAGGATATTATTCGGGGCTCCTGCTGGTCCCACCCCTGAAACTTCCTGGAAACAGCAAACTTCTCTTTCTATTTGAGGCCCCTGTTATTGGATGTTTGGACATCAAAGGAACAATAATAATATTTGACACATGATAGTTACGTTAACTAATTAACTCATTTAATCCTCATAACGGGTACTGTTATCATTCCCATTTTACAGGTAAGGAAACTGAGGTACAAAGAGGCAAGCTGGTCCAAAGTTACAAGAGGTAAGGGGAGCCTAGAGTACTCAAGGTACTGACATTGCCAAGACAACCCAGGCTGCGGAGGGCAAATGGAAATCAAGTACTACACATTCAGTACCCGTTCTGATCAGGATAACTTCCAACATCATCTCATCACCTCCTCATGGGCACCCTGAGCAGTAGGCACTATTATTATCTCCATTTTAAGGAGGGAAACAAGGCTCTGAGTGGGAAGTGGCTTGTTCAAGGTGAATGGCACAGCTGGTACTCAAACCCAGGTCTTCCTGGCTCCAAAGCTATGCTCTTCCTCTGCTCAGTATAACACCACTTCTGGTAGAAGAATCAGGCTTAAGAGATTGAGGCCTGGAAACCTGAATGCAGAGGCAGCCTCTCCTGGAGCCTGAGGTTATCTGGGCCTCCTCGAGGGGAGAAAGCCTGAGAACCTTCTGAGGGACTCAGGAACCTACCACTTTGGGTTTGCAAACATGGAGTCTACCCATGTCATAATGCTTGGCTTTCTGGGTTCCTCACCGGTTTTGAGTTTGGCAGGTTAAGTTCCATTCCTCCCCTGGGCCTCAGTTTCCTTTTGGCACAATGAGGGGCCAGGTCTCTGACTGTCTTGAAGGGTTTGTTCTAACCTGAAGCTAAGATGGATTTTGGTCTTATGGACTCTTCTTAGGAAGCATAGGGCAGTGAGTGTGGGGCTGGGGAGCGGGCTGAGGCAACACAGACCCTGAATCAAGAACACCTATGGGGCTTCCCTGGTGGTACAGTGGTTGAGAGTCCGCCTGCCAATGCAGGGGACATGGGTTCGAGCCCTGGTCCGGGATCCCACATGCCGCGGAGCAACTAGGCCCATGCGCCACAGCTACTAAGCCTGCGCTCTGGAGCCCGCGAGCCACAACTGCTGAAGCCTGCACGCCTGGAACCTGTGCTCCGCAACAAGAGAAGCCACCACAATGAGAGGCCCTTGCACCGCAACGAAGAGTAGCCTCCGCTCGCTGCAACTAGAGAAAGCCCGCACACAGCAATGGAAGACCGAATGCAGCCAATAAATAAATACATAAATAAATCTATTAAAAAAAAAAAAGAAAACCTATGGCCAGAACCCCAAATTCCAGGCCTTAGCCTTTGACCAGACCTCCCTCCCCATATCCTAAATATTTAGGGTAACTGACTCCACAACTACTTTAGAAGTAGGCTGACTCTGGCTTGCTTCAACGGTTGGCTGTTAAGGCAGCTCATTGCTTCGGTTTCTCTCTTGTGAAATGGGAAGGAGCCACTAGGCCAAAAGGATGTGGCCGTGGACTGGGAGGCCTCTCCTGAGTGGGGACCCTGGGAGCTGGGGGAGAGGTCACCTCTGTACACGCCACACACAGGCTTCTCCAAGAGGGCACTGTAGTTGCTGAAGTCCTCCTCAGTTATGACACCCCCTGCATGCTGAGCCTGGAGGGGAGAGAATGACCCCCACCACTGTGAGTCACACACCACACTGTGAGCATGCGGTTTAGCCTAAGGTATATGTTTGGATCATACACAGATCAAATGGTTACAAATATTGTGCCTTCTGCAGTTCCCATCATGGCCTTTAGGGACCCCATCAGCTGTGGGTACCCCAGGAAAAAGGAAGGGGAAAAGCACTAACAATAAGCACCCACTATGTGCCAGACATTGTACTGGATACAATCTATGAATGACCTCCTTAGCTTGGCATTCAAGGCCCTTTGTGATCTGGCCCCTGCCTACCTCTCCCACTTCACGTCCTGCTATTCCCCAATGAGCTCTGTACAGCGACCCAGAGTGACCTGCAGGTCCTGAACTCATGACTACCTGTCTTTGCACATACTGCCCTCTGCCTATGTAGAAGGAAGATTTTCCACTTACAGCAGCACTTGCCTAGGAGATATCAAAACTGAATTCTGCATTTCACTGTAACTAACTAAAACCACTCCAAAACCATGAACTCTGGATGACCCTCGTAGGACAACCCTTACGGGACATAACTGAGCACTTTACTGACCAATGATCTAATCTTGTACAAACTGATGGGCTCATTCTATCCAGCATGCTAATTTTTAATTCTAAATTAGCATAACCACTAGGAATCCTCTCCTTTTTTAGTACTTTTAAGTACCTGAAGCCTGTGATGTCTAATCTACCCTCAGTGACCTACACATTGAATTTCTTGGCTTTGTCTGGTAAGTTAATAAACTCAGCTTTGGGTTTTTCTCTCTTAAAGCTCTGATGGTCTTTGTTAGAGTTTCCTTCATCCCCTTCTCCACCACCAGGAGACGATATGCAACCCAGGTCTGGCTAATCAGATCATTCCTTTTCTGTGCTACCGTGACTGGTTTGGGAATAGTCATGAGACCTATGATGGGCTGTGAGACATAACCTTGAGGCTTTGCTGGAACTATTTGAATGAGAAAGGCTCTTTCTCTGGGATGGCTTGCCGGAAGGATGGCTGCTGGAGAGCAGGTGTGGAAAGGATCTGACAGAGTGATTTCAAACAGAGGAAAGTAGAGTTGTGAGACCGAAAGAAAGAGATACAGAACAAGTCCTTACAATGTGGAAGGAGTCCCTGGACCCAGTAGATCTAAAACCAGTACGCTGCTGGACTTTCCAGGGATGTCTGTTTGAGACAGGCATCTATCACCACATCCATAACTCCAATGCCCAGCACAGAAGCTGGCACAGAGCAGGCTCTCCATGAAAGTGAAATGAATGGTGGACCTGTTTAATTCCCACAACTGTATGGCAGAGATAGACATAACCACCCGCATTGTACAGATGAGACAATCACTGAGTTGGTCTGTGTATCCTTATCTTGAACATAATTTTCCGTTAGTGGTTTCGAACTATCAACACTAGTTCCCAGAACCCATTACTGCCTCAGACTGAGACTCTTTGGGGTTGGGTGGTAAAGCCCTTGTGTCGATCCTCCCCAGTCCTGAGTCATCAGTGAAGATGGTGTCTCCCTCGGTCCCTAGAAAATCCAGGGAGCAGGGTGGGATTGTAGGCTCAGGGAAGCTGAGGCTGATCCTGGGTCTCCACCAGGCCTGGGAGGGCCAGGACAGGCCACTATACAGGTTGGTACCAGCCCTGGGGAGCTCAAAGGTACCTCTCACAATCAAGACAAAATATTCTCATCACCCTAGGAGGTTCTTTGTGCCTCATCCCAGTCAACCCCTCCAATTCCCCAAACTACTGATCTGATTCTGAGGTTAGTTTTGTCTATTCTAGAATTTCAAGTAAATGGAATCCGCAGTAAATATATGCAGAAACAAAGACAGGGAAGTAAGGGGGAAGAGGACTTCTCTGCAGTAGGGTCTTCCGCCGCAGGGCCGGGGGTGCCCCACACGCTCACCTCTGCCACCATCTCCAGTGTGAGGTTGCCACCGGCATAGAAGGCAGCGGGGCCATAGGTGCCAAGCACATCCAGCACCGCCGCCAGGTCAGGCCGTCGCAGCAGTGAGCCAGGTAGTGGCGGGTGACCCGAGGGCAGGAACGTCTCACGGAAGCGCTCAGACGCATTGGGTGGCGGCTGTTCAGCCAGGGCTTGGGCTGCGGGCAGGGACACGAGGCTGGGATGGGGGTGTCGGGACTGTACACGCAACAGGTGGGGTGGATGAGGGCTGAGAGGCCGGCCCTAAGCCCTCCGGCCCCCCAGGAGACTGTTACGGGGGGGGGGTAGTGGTGGTGTATATGGGCCAATCCCAGATCCCCCTCCCCATTGGAGGATCCCTCCCAGTGAAGGTAGGGTGGTGTGGGGAGGGGGTCTGAGGAGCAAACTGGAAGATTTAGGACCTAAATCGCAGAGGTTCCCTCTCCCCTCTCCATCAAACTCATGCCTTTCCCTCCACCCCCAGGCCCCACTGACCTAGATCATGGGTCATGTTGAAGCCATCTTGGGCCACAGCTGCTGCGAAGGCGAGGACTTGGGACCATGGCAGCCTGGGGGAGCCGGAGAGCAGGGGGTGGAGGAGGTCCTGGGGGGAGGAAGAAGGGTCCTGGGGGGGGAGGGGGGTTCCTGGGAAGGAGAGTCCTGGCAAGGGAAGGGGATATTAGGAGGGGGGAGTTGGGAAGGGAAGAATCCAGGAAGGTAGGAGAAGGCCACCCAAGGAGGAGTGCAGGCAGGGGCCCCTGGTCCCCAGGGGGAGAACCTTTACCTGCCATAGAGCTGGTGAGCTTCGTGTAGCCCCTTCACCATTCCGGGAACCCCCACCAAGAGCCCAGGCTGGGCAAGGCGGGCAGGTGAGGGAGAGAGGAGACCAGGTCACTGGAAGGGGGGGCGCTGGGCTGAATTCCTCAGAGCCCCAAGCCAGGGATGGGGGCTGGCACAGGGGAGAGACACAGGCCAAGTATCCCAGAGGAGGGACAAGCTGTCCCCAGCAGGCATCCCTCCCACCTCCCTGACTTCCTATCAGCAAATGCAGAAAAGCCTCCTTTATCTGTCATAGCTGAGGGATTTATAAATTAAGCAAACCCTTTTAAGAGCCAAGACATAACAATTTAGATGGAAACCTGTCTAGATTGGATTATACCTACTCTTGCCTTTTAAAACAGTGGACAAGTGACCTTCATTTAACCTTTTCATTAACACCACCATTACTCTGAACTGTGATAATTCAGGGGTGTGTTTGGCTTTTGCCACTGCACTAAATATCTATTTTCCCAAGTAATTCTATTTCCTCCTTTGCTCTCAGTAGATAGTGGGTTTGCCTCCAGCAGTTCCTCTATGTCATGTCAGTTCCAATATGTCACGGGCTAGGAAAGTTACCAATGACAGCCTCAGAATGAGATGTGTGAGTGATAGTGCAGCTACTTTGTGACATCTCAGACTGCTCAGTGGCTCTTTTTCTTCCTTCTTATGTGCCAGATAGGCAAGGTCACCAGAGAAGTAATGTGGTGCTGCACTGCCTGTTATCAAACAATCAGATTTTCTGGTTCATTATTATTATTATTATTATTTTGGCCGCACCTTGCAGCATGCGGGATCTTTCCCCTACCCGGGATCAAACCCGCATCCCCTGCAGTGGAAGCGTGGAGTCTTAACCACTGGACCGCCAGGGAAGTCCTGGTTCATTATTTTATTTTGGGGGCTGCCTATCTCCCTCAGAGCCTAAGAGCATCCTGCTTAACTCTTTCCCTCACCTCCATAGTAAATATTCAGCAAGGTAATGCTTGGGTTAGCAGAAGGGCAGTGAAGGGAGACACCCCCCACCTTCTCACCAGGGTCCCCACCTTGGTCTCCCAGGATCTCTGCAGGGCCTCTTCTCTTAGAGCCCCTGGGGCAGACTCTCGGAAATCAATTAGGTGGCTCTTATTCCGTCGGATGTCATGTACCAGCATCACACCCCCACTAGGAGAGACATGGAAGGGGGAGGGTGATGATAAGATGCCACTCCTCTGAACAATTAGCCTGCTGTTCCTCAAGCCCCCCACGCTGATGGCTAAAGGCTCAGCCTGTCATCAGGAGTCAGGTGTCTGAGCTCCCTCCCCAGCAGAGATTCAGAGACTCAGCTACCCTATCAGGGTGGGGAGTGAAATCAAGGGGTTGGGGGACCCAGAGTCCATGGACCTCTTCCAGCCTGTTATTGGAGCCTTTAATCCCTGACAAGGGAAAACCCAGAGACTGGGAGAGCGGGATGTTCTGCTCCCCCTCCACCCCCACCTCCTACCACAGTTGGACCCCTGCCAGCTTCCTGCACCTGCCTCTGTGGTACGTCCCTCTCCCTCTCCCAGGACTGAATTATGTAAGGACAGACTGTACACAACCAAAAGTGGAATTTCTTTCGTAGGGCCTGGAAGGCTGGTCTTTCAGGAGCCAAGATATGGACTTAGTCAGCTTGTCCCTTTTCTGTGGTTTGCTTCCATCTGAGATGGGGGTTACATCTGAGATAACTGGGCTGCCAGCTAACATAATAGGGAAAGCAGGACAGCTAAACAAAAGGGAGTGGTAGGAACTATGGCCAAGTGGACAGTACAAGCCCCATCATGGGAAACAGCTTCTATTCAGCTCCAGATAACTGCAGCCGGGTGAGAATGTAGGCCCAATGTTATTAGGTCTCCTGATTGTTCAAGAAATGTTAGAAATCTGGATTTTTATGAAAATTCTCAATTTTTTAACATCAGCAACCAAATTTTTAAAAATTTAAGTGTGCAAACTAAACCAGGCTGTGTGCCGGGTGTGGCCCATGGGTGGCCGGTTTATAGTCTCTGTTTTAAGAGGTCTTACCCTGGGGTGTATTTTTTGAGGATAGAGGATCCATTGCTTTCATCAGACTCACAGGGATGTGTTTTAAGGATTTGTAAACGCTAAAAGTTGAAGTATCACAGCCTTAATTAATGACAGTATACCCCCAACTGTGTACCTCACTTTAGAGTTTATGAAATCCTTTTCCCAGTTAAAGAAAAATCTTCTGAAAACACCTCCTTGGACTCCATGTAAAGAGAAAGGGGTAAGATTGGGTGTAGAAAGAGAAAATGCAAGGAGATGGGGCCCAGTTGCCCCTCTGCTCAAACTTGGAGAAGCGCACATGAGGCCCACAGACCAAGAGAAAGAAGGAGGCCTGGGGCACCCCAACCTCCGCAGCTGGGAGCTTCTTACCCGCCCAGGCCAGAACTGTGAGGAGCCACGATCCCCAAACACAGGGCTGCTGCCACAGCTGCATCCACGGAAGATCCCTGTTTACTGAGCACCTCTATGCCCACCGATGTGCAGTGGGCGGCATCGGTCACCACAGCGCCCTGGTGAAAGATCTGGAAGGGGGAGGGGACTAGGTGGGGGCAGAAGGGGCCCCCTGCCTCCCTAAGGCACCTCCACTAACCCCAGAACCTCCAACAGAGGGTGGGGATGAGGGCCCTGCCCTTTTATCCCCTTGACTCTCCCCTAAGAGTCTTCTTTCCTTACCTCAAGTGCCTCCTACCTGATCAGTTCCCTTCTTTGAGCTCTGTCCGCCTCACGCCCAGGAGGCCCTCCCTTGAGACCTTCCTCTCCCATGTCACCGCCCTCTCCCCTTTCCATTTGCTGGCCCCCTTTCACCACTCAGCCAGTCCTCAGTTCCCAAGGTCTCCTTAAGCGCTTCTTCACCCCTCCTCCCCAGGTTCTCTCCTCTCCCCCTCCTCTTCCTCCTCACCTGGGGGTCCCCGAAGTAGATCTGCATGATGAGCGCCACAGTGACACCGGTGGCAAAGGTGAGGCAGGCTGTGACGATGACCGTGAGCCCGTCCTGGCGGCAGGAGCACTCGGACGCTGCCGCGGAGAACGGGTCTTTGCGCGTCTCCCGCAACGGCGACCCGTCCTGGCTGCCCATCTCCGACGACGACGACGGCAGCCGCTGCAGCCGCGCTGACTTCAGGAAGGAGTCCGGGTCTGCGGGCGGCGGGGGTCGGTCGGGGCACCTCTTACCCGGCCCTACCCGCCCTCTAGGCGGGGCTATTCTGCGTCCCCCTCTCTCTCGGCCCCCACCCCCCAAACTCCACTAGACAGCATTGCTCCCCTTTCAGCGTCTCCCCATGCACCCCAGGGAGGGCGGTGGGGGGTGGGGGGTGGTCCTCGCTTGGAAGAGACAGGGACCCACAACTGGGCAGCAGGGTGGCTGGATTCCCATCCCTAGGCCACATCGCCCGGGACCCAGGACCCAGGGCTGAGAACACTTCCTGGAGAGGCAGGGGTTGGGTCCTCCCTGGAAACCAGATCTTGCCTCAGCTGGGGCCCAGCCTTCTGTGCAAGGAGGCAGCTCCATAAACTGAGCAGAGGGGCCCTGTCTTCCAACCTTGTTTTCGCGATCCATCCATCCATTCATTCATTCAACAAATATGGAGGGCCTGCTATTTGTCTGGTCCCATGCTAGATGCTAGGGGAAAGGAACAAACAGTTCCTGCCCTCATGGGTTTTGAAAACCAGTGGAGGAAGAAGATAATAAACAAGTAAACAAAGGAGTATATCATTACAAGCTGTGGCAGGTGCTATGAAGAAAGAGAAGGATGACAAGGTCCTACTGTATAGCACAGGGAACTATATTCAATATCCTGTGATAAGCCATAATGGAGGGACTTCCCTGGTGGTGCTGTGGTTAAGAATCTGCCTGCCAATGCAGGGGACACAGGTTCGAGCCTCATCCGGGAAGATCCCGTGCCGGGATGCCACGGAGCAACTAAGCCCGTGCGCCACAACTACTGAGCCTGCGCTCTAGAGCCCGTGAGCCACAACTACTGAGACTGTGGGCCACAACTACTGAAGCCCACGTGCCTAGAGCCCATGCTCCGCCAATAAGAGAAGCCACTGCAATAAGAAGCACGCACACCACAACAAAGAGTAGCCCCCGCTCGCTGCAACTAGAGAAAGCCCGCGTGCAGCAACGAAGACCCAACGCAGCCAAAAATAAATAAATATTTTTTAAAAGCCATAATGGAAAAGAATGTGAAAAAGAATGTATATATGTATAACTGAGTCACTTTGCTGTACAGCAGTAATTAACACAACATTGTAAATCAACTATACTTCAATTAAAAAAAGAATAGAATTACAACAACAACAAAAAAGGATGAAATGATAGAGAATAATGGTACATGTTGGAGGCAATTAGCTGGGGAAGTCAGGCAAGGACTCTCGCAGAGGTGACTTTTAAGCTGAGAACTAAGGGATGAGGAGCCAGCCATATGTAGAGCAAGGAGTGAGTGTGTAGAGTGTTCCGCAAAGAAGGAACAGCAGGTGCAAAGGCCTTAATGTAGGAATAAGTTTGGTGCATTAGAAAACAAATAACCAAGGTTGGGGTGGCTCTGGTGTGGTGAGCAAGGGGAAAGGAAAGAGTAGTAGGTGGAGGCTAGGGCAGATGCGCTGGGCCTTGAGGGCTTAGTGAGAAGGTTGGATTTTACCCTGAGAGCCACAGGAGGCCACTGGAGAATTTTAAGCAAGAATGTGAAGCCTTCTGTTTTGTGTTTTAAAAAGATCCCTCTGGCTGCTATCTGGAGAACGGATCTAAGGATAATAAAAGTAGAGGCAGGGGACATTTGAAAGCTACTTACCTGCTGGGTGACTATGGACAAGTCATTTCAAGTCATGAGCCTCACTTTCCTCATCCTAATCATGGAGCTGATCCCTAACTGGCTGGATGGTACAAGGATTCAAAAAGGTGATGTATACCAGGCACTCTGTAGGTGCTCACTCAAAGTTATTTCCATTTCTTTTCCACCCTGGCCAGGGCTGAGACCCTCTTCCATCCCATAGTCTCCCTCCTCTGGGATATATTAGCCTTGAACCCAGGTCTCTAAATGGTCTAAAGGTCCTGGGTGTTTGTGAATAGTAAAGAAATAGCCTGATACCTTGACCTTAATATGTGACTGTACTCACAATGTGTTTTTAAAAGTTCATTCATTCAAAATATTTTTGAACACTTGCTACTATGGCCTAGGAGTATAACCCCTTTAAAAGTCTGTGGGATAATATTAAGAATTGACTGTTACATTTTCCTGTTTAAAATACTATCATGGTTCATCAATGCCAAAATGATAAAAATCCAAGCTCCTTAACCTGGTGTTCAAGGACCTCCATAATCCATACTCCCCTCTTTCGTATAAATAAGAAACCACATACATATATAGATAATTTTTAGAAATTCTTCATGGTGGTTACTTTTGGGGGAAGATACTGAAGATGGGAATGAGATGGAGTGGGAGAATTTTTTGTTTGAAATTTTTACCACTTACATATATTTCTTTTGTTTTTTAAAATCAATACATATATTTTTAAATAAATAGGAAAAACTGCAGGAGATAAGAATGGAGAAGAGGACTTTTACATTTTCTCACTGTTCTTTTTTTTCACCATGAACATATAATTTTTTTTTTAATTTCTATTTAAAAAAAGAGACTTGTCTTCTGGAAGCCTCCTTCAGTTGATCATGCTTGCTTCTAACCCTCAGCACCAGCACCAGAGTCTGTAAATAAAACTGATTTACAGTTGATAAACTAATTCAAGTTGATATTTCCAGGCACTTGTCCTTAAATCTGTTTTCTCCAATCAGATATGAGGAGCCAGGAGGTGAAGATGCTATGGCCCCATCAGAGTTAGATATATTCAAGACTTCTTATTCTACCAATAATTTATTATGAATATATAATATAAATGAATATTGTTTTCCATTTATTCAATAAAAATATTTACTGAATATCAACTGTGTAAGTGGTGGGGAAGCAATACCATTGATTTTGCTGATGTGTAAGGACAACAGCAGGACATTGGGAAAAGGCTAGTTTGGGACCAGAAGAAACAAGTCATTTGGGAGAAAAAGGATGAGTTTAATTTTGGCTGTTCTGAATTTGTGGGACAACAGCAGGAGTTGTCTGAAGGCAGTTGGCTTAGTAGGCATCTAATTTTTATCTGCTTAGTCACCATTCCCCACTCAATTTTCTTTTAGAGAACACCAAATCCCCCCTCTCCTTCCTCATTCCCTCATTCCTGGTCAGAGTGAGTATATGACCTAGGCCTAGCCAATCAGAACAGGCACCTCTGTACAGTGATTGGTTCACGTTCACGTGACCAGCACCAGCACCAATGATTTTCAAACTCTGTTTTGTTTTGTTTTTTGCTAAAATATTGGGAAAGAGAAAGACTTTCTTGTCTAGGTTGCTAAGGTGGTAAGATGTAAGCCTGTTGCTACTGGGGACATCTTGCTCCCACAAGATGGGAGGTTTTCTGAAGATGAAGCCCATAAAAATGAAGGCAAAGCAAAAGATGGAGAAAATCCAAATCTTTTTCAGGTACCTCAATGCAGCTATGCCTGAAGCCCTATATCCTGAACTTTTCAGTTATACTACCCAATAAAATTCTCTTTTTAGATGTAGCTCAGTTTTAGTTGGGTTTATGACAAATGAACCCTGAACAGAGTTGACTTGGTCCCTGGCTTGCTTACTCCTCTGAGGGGAGAATCACTAAAGATTTTTGAAACAGGGAGTGACATGATCAGAAATGCAGGGTGCTGGATGGATTGGGTTGGGAGGGGGTGGGGGAGAGTCAGGAAGCAGGAAGAATAGCTAGAAGCCTATGGGTAATAGAGATAAGAGAGGATGGTGGCTTAGTCTACAGTGGTGATGACAGGGATGGTGAGATGGAATTTGGAAGATACTTAGGAGGAAGACAGAGAGCATCTGACCACTATTTAGAAGTGAGCAGAAGGGAGAGAATCATGGGTGGCTCCTAGGCTTCTACCTTGGGGACTGGATGGATGGCAGTGTCATTAATTGAGAATGACATTGGGGGACGAACAGGTGTATGGGGAAGAGAGGATGAGTACAGCATGGAACATGTTGAAGGTGAGGGACTTTCAGGACATCTAGAGGCAGATGTCTGGGAGAGAGAAGAACACATGGGCTTGGAGCTCAGAAAAGAGCAAAGAAAGTTTTCGCCAGTCTTGGAGTGGTCACCATCTAGCTCTGTTTTCCACAAGGCCTGCTGTGGGGTGCCTGGCACTTGGTTCTGTGGAATGGCAGGCTAGAGGCTAGCTGGGCACAACCAAAGTCCTGCATAAGAGGATGGGGCAGTACCATCAGGTGGCACCAGCAGGTTGAGAACACAGGGGGTCATGTTAGCCAGCAGGCTGGTCCAGCTGGGCCAGAGGAGCCTTGGGGCTTGGAAGTAGTGCTGGGAGACATGGTATTGAAATGACTACACAGGTAGGATGGCAAGGTCCTTGGAACCTTAGTGCATAACTTGGCATAAGGTGCAGCTTCCTAGAAACTCAGGTGACCAGGGTCTCTCCTGGATTTTTATACAGTTGAGGGCAGAGCCTGTATTAACTCCTCAAGGAACTCCCTGAGGTTTGAGAACCCTTCCCTTGCCATTCTTTCATCCTGAGATCTTCTCTTTCATTCATTTATTTCTTCAACAGTTTTTATTGAAAGCTTAGCACTGTGCTCGATGGTGCAGAAAGGATGGTGAACAAGACAGTCATGATCCCATCCTCACAGGGCTTATAGACATGGAATAATCAAAGGTTGCACAAATAAATAATCACAGGTTTTGATAAATGCTAAGACATTCATAGGAAAGGAGGATAAAACATATCAGGGGTTTCCAATCTCTAGATTGGGAGAGATAGGCATTCCCAGTTGAGCTGGAAGAGGAAACTAAGACCTAGGTCAGGGTAGGTGTGCCCATTGTCACACAGTGAGTCAGGGCAGTGCTGGGACCATAAGTGGTATTCTTGGCTCCTGAACAAAGGACCTGGTTTCAGGCTGGTATCCACCAGGACACATCCTCCCACTTCTCTCCCAACTACCTCCTGATTCCAGGGCTACTCCCTTCAGAAAAGAAGTTTTAATCTGCGGCTTTGACATGTGATGACCATAAGCCTCCCCACCCTCCCCTCAAACCCCCTCCAGGAAGGGTACAAGATAGTCAGGTTGGCAGGGGCTGCTGGTCAGGGCCAGGTGACTGGAGAATTGTGGAGGCGGAAAGAATTTGGGGCTGTCAGGCTAGGAGTAGCCACAGAAGGGCCAGGCCAGAGAGGGCTGGGCAAGAGAAGCAGGATCTGCCAGGCTGGTGAGGGATAGGGCTCAAGTGCAGGCACTGAGAGGAAGAGAGAGTGAAGTAGAAGGAGGCTCTAATGCCAGGAAGTGACGTTGAGGGAATGGGGGATGGAGGATGGAGGATGAAGAATGGAGGGGAGGACAGAGAGCTGAGCCACATGGACAGGAGAAAGAGCATTAGGGAAGAAATGCTCAGAGAGCTCTCAGCCCCAGGTGTCCCCCAAGCCCCGTCTCCTCCCTCCCTACTCCCACCCCTTGCAGTTCCTGAAGAGGGCTGAAGAGAATACAGTAAAATTCTGGAGCCTGCTTCCTAGGGGGCAGGGTACCTTACTAACATCCTGGCCTGATCCACTGCTCTGGGAGGGGTGAGGTATCCACAGGGCAGCGAAGGTGCTCTGGTCCCCAAGGACTTTGAGAGGTCATGCAGTCCATCCCCCTGTCTCCCAGTACCCATCACTCGCAGATGGATGGGAATCATATTCTCTTTACCCCTCCCGGGACACGAAGAGATTCTCAGCTTCTTCTCATGGTCTCTCCTTCCCACAATCCCTGGCTGTGGGGAAGTTCTTCTCAAGACCTAGCTTCTATCCATCCTGCTGCAGTCTCTGACTTGGTTTCTCCTATCCTGTTCTCTGTGACTAGAGAAAATCCTCTTCTAGGTGATCACAGCTGTTCCTTAGGAACTCCCCGCCAACGTTCCTTCCTTATTAGTTGGTTCTTCCCAAGGGGGTAACCCCAACCCCTCCTACTGCAGTCCCTAGCATCGTTCTCCCTTGTCGCATCCTAAGCCTCCAAGGAAGAAATGCATCCCCCAGCCCCACCAGATAATGAACAGAGACAAGGGAGAAGGGAGAGGTCCAGAAGGAAGGGAATGAATTAGGGAGCTGGAGCTGGAGGTGATGCTTCGCGTAGATGGAGGAGGACCGGGGACGTCCCAGGGGTCAGGGACGGGGCCAGCGGGCCTCACCGGTATCTGGGTCTCCCAGGAAGGCGTCCTCGTCCTTGCGGCTCCTCAGAGGGGCCGCGGGCGCCGGCTCGTCCTCCGGCAGCCTCGGGAAGCTGGTGATGCTCATGTAGTCCACCGGCGAGTAGGCGCCCAGGGCGCTCTCCTGACTGGCCTCGTTCTCTGCCGCCATCCTCGCCCGCGCCCCCAGCAGCGCAGCGCCTGCCGGAAGTGGGGCGGCGGGGGCCGGGCTGGGGCTTGAGGCGGGGGAGACGGTGGGGAGGAGGGAGGGGGGCGGGGCCTGAGCTCCTGGACCGCCGGGAGGGGGCGCCTCAAACCCAGACCCTGGAGGGCGTAGGGGTTTGACTCGGCCCCGCCTGCTTAGCGTTGTCAGCCTGCATTGAGAGCGCAGGCTGGGGTGTGGGTGTGGATGCAGAGCCTGGAGGACGGGTCCGGGTCGCGCAGTCGGGGGTCAGGAGGGAAGAGAGCACGCGGTAAGCGCGACCTTAGTGGCTCGGGGCACCTTACGTAGCCCAGGGACCAAACCCCTTCCTCCTTCCAGTTTGAGCTAGGATCCTCCTCAGACTCCAGGCTCCTTCCTCGGCTCGCAGTCCCTTTCACTGACTGCAAACCTCCTGTCGACCCCAGATACTGTCTCTAATGCCAAACTCCTCGAACCTCAGACCCCTCCTTGGACTCCAAGATCCTTATCCTCCTATCTCAGACTCTTCCTCCGACCCCAGACCCCTCTTTCGACTTCAGACTCCGCCTTCACCCCCGAGCCCCAGCCCCAGCCCCTACTTCATGCACAACCTGCTTCATTTCGAGGCCCCTCCTTGGACATCTCTCCTCGGACGTCAGATCCTTCCCTGGACCCCCCACACTTCGTCGACTCCTCTTTCAATCACAACCGCTTCTAGAACCCCTGACCTATCAGCATAGGGCAGTGAGCCTAAACTTGAGCTTGTCTTAGGATCTTAAAAGCGGATCCCTAGATTCCACTCTAGCGATCATGATTTAATTGGCTGGAATGGGGTCTCTGGAACTTGCATATTTACCATTATTTAAAGAGCTTTTATTTTATGTGGTTCTGGAAAGGAAACTTTGAGAAAGAAATCATGGTGGTGGTGAGATGGTAGGAGTGGGCTGGGTTGGGGGAGGATAAAAGGGTAGGGAATGGGTCTAAAGTCTAGGTATCTGGGTTCTATTCCCTCTGCTACAGCTTACAAACTGTGTGATCTTGGGCAAAACACTTAATCTCTTTGAGTATGGGTTTCTTCATTTGTAAAATGGAGAGAATGACTGTATCCATCTCTGGGTTGTGAGGACTAAATAACACATGGAAAGTTTTTAGTATATGGCTTGACACCTACTTAATACAGTAAATGCCATAATCATTATTAACATTTTTTTCTTAATCTCGTGGATTCTCATCTTGTCCAACCGGATCCATCCTCTTCTCACTGAGGAATTCCAACTACACCATAGTTTGCACTACTACCCCATTTCCAGGGATGGGGTGTTGGTTCCCTATATTATTAGGCCTCTTTTCCAGACTTCCATTTCACAGTCCACAGGCAGAGGGAGGGGACTGGTCAAGCCCCTGGCCACACATCCCCTCCTTCCCCAACCCCAGGCTCCAGGCTCAGAGATGACCTGAACTGCTTGTAAATCCATTATGGGCCCAGCATCTGCAGTGCCACCTGTAGACAGGAGAGGGCAGCAGTGTGTTGGGAACAGTTCTGGGGCCTGAAAGAAGGGCTGGGAAGAGAGGGGAGAAGGGAGAGTGCTGCCCAGAACTTTGTGTGTGGGATGGATAGATGACCATGTATACTAGGACTGTGTGCCATTGCATGTGCCTTTCTCTTCACAGAGAGGTCCCTATCTCCTCAGTGAGGTCCATAGGGCTTATTATGCTTCAGTGAAGTCTGATCCCCTGAGTAGGGTCTGTCCCCACTAAATAAGGTCTGTGCCCCCTCAGTGGTGTGCATTCCCTCAGTGTAGTAAGAGGCCCTTCAGTGGGGTTGAGTCCTCTCAGTGGGGTTCATGTCTCTTTAGTAAAGTCTATATATTTTGTATCTCTTTGGAGGAAGCCCATGTCCCCTCAGTAAGGTCAGTGACCTTCAATGCCATTCATGTCCTATTAGCAGGGTCCACAGCCCTTTCAGTGAGATCTGAGATGCCCCAGTAAGATCTGTGTTCCCTTAATGGAGTCCATGTACCTTCAGTGAAGTGTGTGTCCCTTTTGTGCAGTTAATGCCTCCTCGATGAAGTATCGTCTTCTCAGTGGGGTCCATGTCTATTCCATGAGGTCTGTATCCCTTCTGGGAGCCCTGAGACCCCTTCCTCAGGATTGGGTAGGCTCTGGATCAAGGTCTGACCATGGGGAGGTTTGTTTGTTTGTTTGTTTTTTCCAGTTTAGGGTGTGCTGGCCTTGCAGCTAGCTGGACAAAGAACAAGAGAGCAGGTGGGAAGGGAGGCTGGGCCAGGTGGGGTCCTGTGTAGGCTTCAGGAAGTGGGGGCTACCTGCTTCTGGGCCTCAGAATCACTCTTGGAGTTGGATACTTAAGGATCCTTCCTGCCTTGACGGCCATTCTGTGAACCGATGGGCAGGAGTGGGCCCTTCTTGGTGGTAAGTGCAGGTGGGAGATGGAGGGTCCTGGCTGGTCTTTCCTTTCTGGAGTGGAAGAGATAGAGAGAAGCCAGAGGTATCTGAGCCCAGGTGTGGCAGGAGAGGGGTCTCTTGGTGAAGTAAGAGACTGGGAAGGAAAGAAAGGTGTGATTCCTTCTACTTGCATAGACTTTGTCATTTCACAAGCCTTAGCGTCAGCCTGATGAGGCGGTAAAAACACCTGGAGTCAGGAGACCTAGGTTTGGCCCAAGTTACGGTCGTTGTTTTTTCTGTGACCTTGTACAAAGCCCTCCCTTTCCCTGAGTTTACCATTTATGCAATGAAATGGGTTTACTAGCAAAGACTGAAGGCGCCTCCTAGTCTTCACTTAATGAGTCTTTGCATTTTAGGTCTGGATGGAAATTCGTAGACCCTGTCAGAGCCAGCCTCGCCACTCCCCGTCACTCCATGGGCCCACCCTCTCTCCCGTCACGCCTGGCCCCTCCCCTTCTGCTTTCACGCTGCGGTTCCACCCTTTCCGCAAGTCAGCTCCGCCCCATCCCCCAAGCAATGTTCGACTTTTCCCTATCGGTCTCTTTGCTAGCCCTGGTCCCACCTCCACCAGGCATGGCTCCGCCCCTCCGGGCCGCCTCCCCCGCCACATGCCTAAGCCACGCCTCTGCTGTCAGGCCCCGCCCTTCTCTGAAGGCCCCGCCCCTCGGTCGGCCTGTTTTCCCCCTCCTGGCCGCCCGCTGAGACCGCCAAGGCTGCTACGGTGTTCGGAACTTGAGGTGATGGGGCTTCCCGAGGAGCGGGGCCGGAGCGGCGGTGGGAGCGGGGTCCGGGAGGAGGCTGGAGCCCGGAGCCGGGTGCGGAGTTGGTCTCCGCCGCCCGAGGTCAGCCGTTCCGCGCACGTCCCCTCGCTGCAGCGCTACCGCGAGCTGCACAGGCGCTCCTTGGAGGAGCCGAGAGGTAAGGCCGGGCCCGGGCGGGCCTGAGAGACGTCAGGGAGGAGAGAAGTGGGGGACTTACAGGAGAGTGAGGAGTTGGGGTTCCCTTGGGAAACTGAGGGGTCCGTGAGAAGATAGAGGTTTTGTGAGGGAAGAATTGCGGTTCTTTAAGGAGACGGAAAAGGGGTTCCGGGAGGAGAGGGGGGTTCTCTGAGAAGGAGGGTTCTGTAGGAAATGAGGGTTCCCTAGGAATTGGGGGCGTTCCTTGGCGGCTTGGGGGTTTCGTGAGGAGATGCAGGTTTTGTGAGGAGAGTGAAAGTGTCCTAAGAAGAGAACAGTTCCTCAGGTGAAAAGGCGGGTTCTTAAGGGCGCAGAGCGCCTTGAGGAGAGGCGGGCCACAAAGAGAATTTTGTTAGCCGCTTTTCAGACCAGCCTACCCAGTGCCTCCTGACACCTTTAACCTGTGAGTTAGTCTCCACTGCTGAGGGGCAGTAGGGTCCCATCCCGGGGTCCCCAAATTAGTAATGGAGTCCCAGATCTATTTTTAGTATTTTAGAAATCCCAATGGAAACTACCATATAAGACTGAACAAGTCACTAAAATGTTGTCTTTTAAAAAAAAATTAGGGATGGGATTGTAATAACTCAGAAATTCTGATAGGTAGTTCCATGTCTTTAAGAACGTGTGGGGAAAATTCCCCATCTGTGCCCTCAGGCTGGGTTAGGGGTCACAACTGTAGCTGAGGTGGGAGGCAGCATGATGTTGGCAGTGGGACAAGCTTGAGCCACCGAATCAAACTCAGAAAAATCTAGATTTAGATCCTGGCTCTACCACTCATTTACTGTGTGGCCTTAGGCAGATTTTAAAACCTGTCTGGAATTCCTTTTCTTTATCTATAAGACAGAGGTAATAATACCTGCCTCACAGTTTCGTTTGAGGGCAAAAATGAGTAATAAGTGAAGTGTGCATTATAGAGTGCCTGATGCACAGTAGTGTTCACTAAATAGCGGTTAGTCTGATAACAATAGGAACAAAGTGGATGAAGCAATTATTGAGTAATGCAAGATGAGACTGAATCAAGTGTAGAGTGGTTGATTGCTGCATGCAGTGTCCAAGTTTGAGTACTCAGACCTCTTTTATTTTTTTAAGGTGTTCGTATAGATATTTATTGACTAAATTTGCCTACATAGAGAGTGTCTTACTGCTCATTAATGTATACCACACCTTAGACAAATATTACACTTAAAAGAGTCAACTGATTGGTAATTCTTTCCTTGCCAAAAGTTTCTACGCTTTATAAAAGAATTCACAGTAGGCTTCCTTTAATAGGGAAATGAGCCAATATCTTTAAATAAAAACACAATCACATGGAACTTTCATAAAACACACTTATATCACACACCTGTATCCACCAACCATTCCAGGATTCTGACTTCTTGGGATAACACCATGTTTTTGTTGGGATTCTCTAGGAATAAAATGTAAAGACCAATTAATATACTGGTTCTATAATAATATCATATCTTCATTTTTCCAATGGAGACTGCCTGGTTGGCTCTCAGAGAGGTGATCTAATCTATAGTCTCACCCCCTAATCTAAGTTCACTTTCAGGTTAGATGTCCCCAGCTTGTTTCTTTTCTTTTCTTTCTTTCTTTTTTTTTTTTTTAATTGAAGTAT